AAATATATCTGAGGGATGAAGGGCATGGTACTGCCGTACCATGCGGTATTTATTTGATAGGATATATCGAAGGAGAATAGGTGAGACAGCTAAGAGAATTAGGAAAAAAACGAGAAATGCAAAGATACCAGAACAAGCAACCCAGCCCAGACAAGAGAGAGTACAACAGAGGGAAATAGTGGGCTGCCCAGCTAAATGAGGCAGCAGAATACACAAATATTGATGGGATTATAAATATAGGGATAGAACTACAGGGTGAAATTTTTCACCCTGTAGTTCTATCTATCTTTGTAGTTCTAAATTTTTTACCCTGCAAATTTTTCATGAGGATATCAATAAGAAAAGACATGGTGAACAGAGGGAGAGGGGGAAAGTGGTGTACCCCTGTTGTTAAAGCTACACTGGAGCTACACTGAAGAAGTACAGTTACAAGAGAAAACCGACCAGCAATAGTACATTCCCGAAATGGCAACAAAGGGAGACATGTAGATAGTGGTAGCGGTGATTTACAATCCCCAACCGACCAACAGAAGGCCCAGGCAGGAACACGACAAATGTAACAGAAATTGCCTAAAGGTAATGGGAAAAAGAGCCACAGTGGCTCGGGGAGCAAAAGCTAAATTGTTAACACGAGAGAATTTTAACCATGGGCAAATAAACTGGATACATAAGGACCTTCACTGGGGTGATGAGACATTGCCAGACATGGTAGATAAATACTTCTTAAGGCAGCATATCAAGAGTCAACAAGATTAAGAAAAAGAGAGAATGCGAGATGCTTATAAGAGCTGGAGACAACTGCATTACCATGCTTGAATACATAATGGAGCTGAAGGAGTTGGCGAGACAGAAAAAGCTGTCGTGGAATAAGTAAGATTTCAGAGGAAGGGACTACAAGGTGAGGGACTTCCTAGGGTCATGAGCATTGGGAGAAACAACTGGAAGAGATGACAGCAAATCCACAACTTTAAGCTCAGATTCAATAAAGAATTTGAAGGTCAGAATAGTTTAATTGTAACACAAGAGGCTAGTAGGCGGGGCATAAAGAGCTAGACTTCATTGCCCCCGTAGAGAGTGGTGGGTGAGTAGAGGACCCACCTGCAGGGGAAGACGACGGTGGAGCCCACCACAGCGGTCTGGGGCGTGGGCTGCGTGGCGAAGTGCTGTGCTCCCTCCAGCCCCAGGAGCTGCACCGCCGACCCACCCATTCCTGGGCCCACACGCTCCTCACCCATGATCTCACCACCTGGCCCTACTTCAGGTTCCTGAGCGGCCTCGTGGGTCAGCCCTGCCGCCCACGACGCCCTCAGACTGCCGCCCACGCACGTCGCCCACAGCAGCCACGCCCACAGCCAGGAGATCCACCATGTGAACATGACCTGGGGAAGACGGAGAGATTCTCATGGTAACCTTTATCTTACCTTTACAGTGCTCCTCATATATTGCGTTCTCTTTTTACCTTAACTTGACTTACCTTGTACTACTCACCAATATGTTAAGGTGTGTTACTCATACTCGTATTTTGCTTCATGTATTAATGACTTTATCACGTCATTCATTCATAATTCAGACATAAAGCAGGTGAAGTGTTTAATTACAGGCCGTCCTCGTGCTACGTTCAGACCATCCGTCAAGGCTACGGCTGTGTTCAGTTGACGGCCGACCCCGTCAACGAACTTGCTGTTCATTGAAAATAGGATTTTTGTCAAATAGAAATTTATAACTATATTAGCATGTTGTGCATGTTCAGGCCCAAGTTAAATTAGGCGTTCAGGTTCTGTTGGGGATTTTGTATTTGTAGCACGTGGGGGAAGCCTTGGCAGCGTTGCCACTCCAACACAAGTGGTCAGCAAGTGTTGTCAGTTGACAATCACGTAGTGTTTCTCATTCATACACTCGAGGTGAGGCGGCTGGATATAAACAAGCATTTACACACTGTTTACGCTTAACTAATCATGGAATGCTAATATATAATAATAATATTAGGCTATATTTGAGAAAACCCCGATTTGAAATACACATTACGTTAATGTTAACGAATATGAGGTGGAGCCTCGCCCGAGGACAGGTTGTGAGAGGGTCCAAATCCTACAAGGAGTAAACTTGCGATTAATTGCTATTTTAAACTTGTAGAATCATTTAATTTGGAGGGGAGAGGAGAGCGGGGAACCCCGCGTTCATCTTGGTATAATTAACGGGTCTGATGCGTCCGTCAGAACCCTTCCTCGCTGACTAACTGTGAGGAGGTTCACTGGGGGATGAAGGGAAGACCCGCAGGCTCACCCAGGCATCTACAGCTCCAGGTCACGGGGTCAAATCACTTCGCTATCAAAGGTCGTCGGCTATTAGGAATCCACAAGTGGTTCAGCTTGTTGATATCATTTTATTTTATGCATTATTTTTTTTCGATTTCAGAAGAAATAAACAGCATTAGTTCATGTTTTATTTTGTGTAATGTCATTAAAGTTTCTCAAGTGTGAAGGAGAAAACTTAAGTGAAGGTATGAACCTGTAACCAAACCATAGTCTGAATATTTGACTTCCTGTGACAAAACAATAAGGCAATTTATAGTACAGTTATAAGAAGGACTGTCATGGTGGAGTCATGGAGTCATGGTGGAGTCATGGTGGAGTCATGGAGTCATGGTGGAGTCATGGTGGAGTCATGGAGTCATGGAGTCATGGTGGAGTCATGGAGTCATGGTGGAGTCATGGAGTCGTGGTGGAGTCATGGAGTCATGGTGGAGTCATGGAGTCGTGGTGGAGTCATGGAGTCATGGTGGAGTCATGGAGTCATGGTGGAGTCATGGAGTCATGGTGGAGTCATGGAGTCGTGGTGGAGTCATGGAGTCATGGTGGAGTCATGGAGTCATGGTGGAGTCATGGAGTCATGGTGGAGGCATGGAGTCATGGTGGAGTCATGGAGTCATGGTGGAGTCATGGAGTCATGGTGGAGTCATGGAGTCATGGTGGAGTCATGGAGTCATGGTGGAGTCATGGAGTCGTGGTGGCGACTGTCAGTGACCAGCACTGCCACACTCTACAAACACACGTGGACACATGGACACTGTGTCCAGCCCAACATTACTGGCGGGTCATAGAGCACGTGTATTAACCTTACGGGTTAATCTGCAACATTAATGAGAATTTGTCATTAGCCTGAGTTACCTTGGTTGACGTAGAGTCCCATTCTGTACGACACTATGCTAAAATCACTTTTTTTCCCCCGCTTTTCACAAGGGGGAGAAAAAAGATGTAAACATCATTTGTGCTTCCATGTAAACATCATGTGTGTAAAGGATCTGGGTGTACTCGTGTCGGAAGACCTTACCTTTAAAAAACACAATAAAGTAGCCGTCACAACTGCAAGAAAAATGACAGGTTGGATAACAAGATCCTTTCACACTAGAGATGCTATACCGATGATGATACTCTTCAAGACGCTAGTGCTCTCTAGAGTGGAGTACTGCTGCACAATGACAGCCCCTTTCAAAGCTAGAGAAATTGCTGACCTGGAGAGCGTGCAGAGATCCTTTACTGCTAGAATCCACTCAGTAAAACATCTAAACTATTGGGACCGACTAAAGAGCCTAAAACTGTACTCCCTTGAGCGCAGGCGGGAGAGATACATAATAATTTACACGTGGAAAATATTAGAGGGGCTGGTCCCAAACCTGCACACAGAAATAACATCACATGAGACCAGAAGACATGGCAGGATGTGCAGAATACCCCCGTTGAAAAACAGAGGTGCAACAGGTACTCTGAGAGAGAACTCTATCAACATCAGAGGCCCGAGACTGTTCAACACGCTTCCACTACACATAAGGGGCATAACTGGCCGACCCCTCACAGTGTTCAAGAGAGAACTGGATAAGCACCTCCAAAGGATACCTGATCAACCAGGCTGTGACTCATACGTCAGGCTGCGAGCAGCCGCGTCCAACAGCCTGGTTGATCAGTCCGGCAACCAGGAGGCCTGGTCGACGATCGGGCCGCGGGGACGCTAAGCCCCGGAAGCACCTCAAGGTAACCTCAAGTAAGGTTCTTTCTTTAATATATATATACATATAACACATGTTTCCTGTTACTTAAGTTGACCACCTCGATATATACGTAACCTAACAAGCTCGTCTTGAGACAATTGACGAGGCTTGCATGTTGACCTCGTGACCTCGTGACCCCCCCCCCCCCACACACTCGGGGTCAAGTGCTCATCTCACACGATTTTACGATGACTATTACGCTAAATAATATTTATTGGAATCCGAAAAACCCTTTCAGGGTAAAAAAAAAATATGTTAAAACTTGTTCCTTTTTCAAAACTAAACATTTATATTTGTTTTAGTTCTTTGTTCATACTCAAGTAAAATTTAATATAGATGTAATATTTACACAAATCAGAAGATTTGTTAACTATACAATTACAGACTTGTAATAACTATTGAAGTTGGCGCCGTCTTACAGCTAAACGGCTATTATGTCAAACTCAACTTACTTGCAAACAAAGGGGAATCTTGGGAAACTACTGTACATGTAAGGTGGTGTACATGTAAGGTAGTGCACATGTAAGGTAATTGTACATGTAAGGTGGTGTACATGTAAGGTGGTGTACATGTAAGGTGGTGTACATGTAAGGTAGTGTACATGTAAGGTAGTGTACATGTAAGGTGGTGTACATGTAAGGTGGTGTACATGTAAGGTGGTGTACATGTAAGGTAGTGTACATGTAAGGTGGTGTACATGTAAGGTAGTGTACATGTAAGGTAATTGTACATGTAAGGTAGTGTACATGTAAGGTAGTGTACATGTAAGGTAGTGAACATGTAAGGTAGTGTACATGTAAGGTAGTGTACATGTAAGGTGGTGTACATGTAAGGTAGTGTACATGTAAGGTAGTGAACATGTAAGGTTGTGTACATGTAAGGTATTGTACATGTAAGGTAGTGTACATGTAAGGTAGTGTACATGTAAGGTAATTGTACATGTAAGGTAGTGTACATGTAAGGTAGTGTACATGTAAGGTGGTGTACATGTAAGGTAGTGTACATGTAAGGTAGTGAACATGTAAGGTGGTGTACATGTAAGGTAGTGTACATGTAAGGTAGTGTACATGTAAGGTACTGTACATGTAAGGTGGTGTACATGTAAGGTAGTGTACATGTAAGGTACTGTACATGTAAGGTAGTGTACATGTAAGGTACTGTACATGTAAGGTAGTGTACATGTAAGGTAGTGTACATGTAAGGTAGTGTACATGTAAGGTAGTGAAAATGTAAAGTAGTGTACATGTAAGGTATTGTACATGTAAGGTAGTGTACATGTAAGGTAGTGTACATGTAAGGTAGTGTACATGTAAGGTAGTGTACATGTAAGGTAGTGTACATGTAAGGTAGTGTACATGTAAGGTAGTGAACATGTAAAGTAGTGTACATGTAAGGTATTGTACATGTAAGGTAGTGTACATGTAAGGTAGTGTACATGTAAGGTATTGTACATGTAAGGTAGTGTACATGTAAGGTAGTGTACATGTAAGGTAGTGTACATGTAAGGTAGTGTACATGTAAGGTAGTGTACATGTAAGGTAGTGTACATGTAAGGTAGTGAACATGTAGTGTACATGTAAGGTATTGTACATGTAAGGTAGTGTACATGTAAGGTAGTGTACATGTAAGGTATTGTACATGTAAGGTAGTGTACATGTAAGGTACTGTACATGTAAGGTATTGTACATGTAAGGTAGTGTACATGTAAGGTAGTGTACATGTAAGGTAGTGTACATGTAAGGTAGTGTACATGTAAGGTAGTGAACATGTAAAGTAGTGTACATGTAAGGTATTGTACATGTAAGGTAGTGTACATGTAAGGTAGTGTACATTTAAGTAAGGTAGTGTACATGTAAGGTAGTGTACAAGGTAGTGTACATGTAAGGTAGTGTACATGTAAGGTAGTGTACATGTAAGGTAGTGTACATGTAAGGTACATGTAAGGTAGTGTACATGTAAGGTAGTGTGTAAAGTAGTGTACATGTAAGGTAGTGTACATGTAAGGTAGTGTACATGTAAGTACATGTAAGGTAGTGAACATGTAAAGTAGTGTACATGTAAGGTATTGTACATGTAAGGTAGTGTACATGTAAGGTAGTGTACATTTAAGTTAGTATACATGTAAGGTAGTGTACATGTAAGGTAGTGTACTGTAAGGTAGTGTACATGTAAGGTAGTGTACATGTAAGGTAGTGTACATGTAAGGTAGTGTACATGTAAGGTAGTGTACATGTAAGGTAGTGTACATGTAAGGTAGTGTACAAGGTAGTAAGTAAGGTAGTGTACATGTAAGGTAGTGTACATAGTGTACATGTAAGGTAGTACATGTAAGGTAGTGTACATGTAAAGTAGTGTACATGTAAGGTAGTGTACATGTAAGGTAGTGTACATGTAAGGTAGTGTACATGTAAGGTAGTGTACATGTAAGGTAGTGTACATGTAAGGTAGTGTACATGTAAGGTAGTGTACATGTAAGGTAGTGTACATGTAAGGTAGTGTACATGTAAGGTAGTGTACATGTAAGGTAGTAAGGTAGTGTACATGTACATGTAAGGTAGTACATGTAAGGTAGTGTACATGTAAGGTAGTGTACATGTAAGGTAGTACATGTAAGGTAGTGTACATGTAAGGTAGTGTACATGTAAGGTAGTACATGTAAGTAGTGTACATGTAAGGTAGTGTACATGTAAGGTAGTGTACATGTAAGGTAGTGTACATGTAAGGTAGTGTACATGTAAGGTAGTGTACATGTAAGGTAGTGTACATGTAAGGTAGTGTACATGTAAGGTAGTACATGTACATGTAAGGTAGTGTACATGTAAGGTAGTGTACATGTAAGGTACTGTACATGTAAGGTAGTGTACATGTAAGGTAGTGTACATGTAAGTAAGGTAGTGTACATGTAAGGTACTGTACATGTAAGGTAGTGTACATGTAAGGTAGTGTACATGTAAGGTAGTGTACATGTAAGGTAGTGTACATGTACATGTAAGGTAGTGTACATGTAAGGTAGTGTACATGTAAGGTAGTGTACATGTAAGGTAGTGTACATGTAAGGTAGTGTACATGTAAGGTAGTGTACATGTAAGGTAGTACATGTAAGGTAGTGTACATGTAAGGTAGTGTACATGTAAGGTACTGTACATGTACATGTAAGGTAGTGTACATGTAAGGTAGTGTACATGTAAGGTAGTGTACATGTAAGGTAGTGTACATGTAAGGTAGTGTACATGTAAGGTAGTGTACATGTAAGGTAGTGTACATGTAAGGTAGTGTACATGTAAGGTAGTGTACATGTAAGGTAGTGTACATGTAAGGTAGTGTACATGTAAGGTAGTGTACATGTAAGGTAGTGTACATGTAAGGTAGTGTACATGTAAGGTAGTGTACATGTAAGGTAGTGTACATGTAAGGTAGTGTACATGTAAGGTAGTGTACATGTAAGGTAGTGTACA